GCTGCGCCGCTTGCCACTTCGTTTCAATCTTGCCTGCGCCACACCAGCGTCAGTGTCAGCGCGGGCTCTCTGCAGTCTATACATTTTCACCTTGTCCTCACCGGTTCAAGCGAGTTGCGCGTCGTATCGGCATCGCTGCTAGTTTAGCATGAAAAGCGCTCGCCGTCCCGCCGGATCCTCGTCAAAAGCTAGGGACCACACGTCGACGGGCTCCAGCGGATCCGGAATTCAGGGGTGCCGGGTGGCTCGCTTTTCAATTGGACGGCGGCCCAATCACCACCACACGCAGACTCGTTCATCCGCAGGTTATTTGGATCGGCTTCGATCTCCGACAAATCTGTCGGGATGGGGCTTCGGACCCCATCCGGACACAGCGCTCATCCTTTAACGGAATAGGAGCTGACCCTGGTCTCCGGGTGTCGGGCAGCGCGGCCGCGCCACGCGCAGGTGGGCGGCGGCCGCCACTGCGCACCACGGGTTTGCATGCAGGGTTTGGGGTCAGACTAGGTAATCGAGCCAGGTCACGGGTATCAGTGCCTTACCTAACCAGGTACCTAAACCCACCTAAACCACAGGGTTACAACCCGTTTTGAAAACCCCTTAGCGACGTCACGGTCGACCTTTCACGTCGCAGCACGTAACGCTCCTCCTGTCCTGCTCAACGCTGGGGGTTTCATGGAGGCCCTGAATTTTAGGGTTTGGCTGCAAAGCTTGCACATCAAAGCCAAGCCGCAAGCGTCGCTGCTGTCTCAGCTCTGCAACCTCCAGCCTGTCCAGGCTCCAGAGAGTCCAGAGCAGAGCAAAGTTTGCCAGGGTTGCAAAGCTTCCCAGCTAGCATATGATATTCACAACTAGCATATGCTTTCCGCAAACCTTTCTAGGCTGATGATAGGCGGTGCGGGGCAGTGCCATAGGAATGCATTTTCTTCTCGTCCTTGATCTGTTATTGCTGTTAAGCGGCAGCAGCAAAAGCCAAGGTTTCCTCAAGAGGGGAAGAGTGCCAAAATGGTGGTAGAGGAACATGCAAGATTGCAAAGCCTGCTTTTCCTGGGAGAAGAGCAGATCCACCTGTAGGACTCACAAGGCGCCAATCAACCTAGTGGATTATTCAGGTCTACAACCAAAGTGAAATTGCCTGGAATGCAAGGTACAAGACAGGGGAAATATGCGAAGGCAATCCTGTTCTTCATGATGCAGGTGAGTGCAGAACAGCTCACGGAAACTTGTCGTCTTTAAAAGGAGCTTGCACAGAGTTTTATGCATCTTTCTTTATCTCCTTGCCGCTAATGGCTCGTCATTCCTCAAGCAAATAAGATGAACATGCTGATTGCTATTGCAAATCAGACTCTTGATAAGATATTCACCACTAGTACTTTATTGTTTTGTCCCAGGGGTTGGATCCCATTGTGTTCAAGCCTGCAGGATATACAGCATTGTGTCTCTGAAAATACTTTTTTGCATTCTTACCATGAATGCAAGTCTTTCTTTCCAACAATTCAGAAGATACTCACAGTGGAATCTACAAGCTACGCCTGGCGAGAGCTTTCATTTGGGGCTCTATCGGGGCTTTGTCGGGGCTCTGTCGGGAGAAGATTGTGTTTGGTGCATCAGATTGGTGGCCAAAGTAGAAGTCCCATTCGGGGAAGAATGGTACTTGTCGTTGCCATGCACAATTCTTCTGAAGCCAGGGCCCTGAAAGCGTACATACTGCGTTTCCAATTCATCCGCCGCAGTTCTGCTCCCTGGTCGAGGTGGCCGTGGAGGGACGCCATGCCTACGTCTTTACTCATGGGGGCCACAGGGGCGGGGATAACGCACACTATGTTGGGGAGCAACCAGGATCTGGGGGTCATAGTCCTTGCGCTCAAAGTAAGCTGTTGACTGTGCCTTCAACAAAAACTAAGATACTTTTGAGGAAGCTTCGCTGGACCGGCATTGAGATGCTGAGATTGGTAAGGGAACGTGTACTCCTGATAAGCGTTCGAGGACCTACATCAGTCAGAACCCAATGTGACGGTCCAGAAAAGGGTTGTCTCCTCGACATCATCTCTTATCTCATGTGCTCACAGGCAAGGCTGGTCTTGCAAGGTTGGCTGAAAGTCCATCCATTCTGGCCGATTGGTGTCGGACCCCTTTTGCTAAGCGGTTGTCTGTTGCGACGTGTCCGCGGTAGTCTGATGCCAAGGACATTGTATAGAAGAGGGCCCCTGACCACTTCAGAATTGGCTGGGTATCCAGCTTCATGGCCCCGTGTCCACTTGATCCACCCTGCGTGCTGGACTTCAATGTATCAGCAACTTCAATGTGGCAGACTCAAGGCACAATTGAAGGAGCCCCATGACGCTCGTTTGGATCTTGAACCTGTGCCCTCTCAGTGCATCACTTTCGAAGAGTTCCACAGACGCTGCCTCTTCTCTTAACCTTCAGGGTCACATGCATTTCCTAGCTTTGATCGCTGCTTCTTGGGCTCTGTTTACAGGATCTAGCTGGTGGCACCTTTTCTGTAACGGAAACAGAACGGCGTCCAAACCAACAAATTCTCATCTTGTTTTGATACAGGTGGCGAAGCTCGCCGCGACCCCAATGATGCAGGCCAGGACCGCCCAACACGAGCAACTAGAGCGAGACGTGATCAGTCGGGTGGAACTTCCGGTCACAACCGGGGAGGACGCCTGGGCGCCGAAGCTGCTGAACGTGATCATCGGGCTGCGCCAGCTGGCGACCAAGGGGATGACCCGGGAACTGTGCATGTGAGCAGACTGAAAATCACGACTGCTGTCCGATTCAAATCTTCCTCAAGAGTCGTGGATTGTCCGAGTAGGCTGGGGCGACTGACGACCTCGAAGACCCTATACGGTCGACTTTTTGGATGATCATCTTTCAAAATAAGGCTCTGATTCAGTTGGGTTACCCTTAGCAGCCTTCTTGCAAGAACCAGCGGACTGTATTACAGCGTATTCATCATTGTCCCACTCGTCATCCTGATGCGTCATCTCAAAGGTTCTCTTGCTGATGTTTCGTCTGCGAGATTGTTTAGAAAACATCAGTCTTGCCCTTTTCTAAAGGTTCTACACCCTGACAGATGTCGACGATTGCTTTCGTTGGATTTTAGTAACTGCCGAGCTGTAGCAACCGGCGGCGGGGGTGATGACCCGTTAAGCACTCGGTGTGCATCGACTGTTTCGACGTTTCGATTGAATGCCCAGTGAAGTATCAAGCGCGTCAGCGGAATCTGAAAGGCGACTGTCATTTCCTCAAAAATAAGGAACGTGATCCTTGTGGAGCACAAAAATAAAAATGCAGCAACGCATCCTTGTAATTGTTGAGTTGCTCGATCCCGTTGCTCAACTTATAACGCCATCATTGGCCCGCAGCTTTGGCCTGAAAGTTTCGGGCTCTTTGGCACCTACTCGCACTTGCCCTGAATTTATCTGAGCTTTCCTGCTTCCGGTCGCCTTGGCCGTTTGCCGGGTCGTTGGATCGTGGGCATTGTCGACATGCTGCGGCTAGTTGAGCGGGATGGCCCGCCACGAATGCTGAAGGGCGCTCGAACCTCTAGAGAGTCCCGCGCTTCTGCACCTGCTTGCTGTTCCCCTGAGCTTCTCTAAGCTTCCCTCACGCTAAGGGCCCCCTCGAAGGCCATTGAATTGTGGGTATCGTTGACAAGCTGCGGCTGGACGAGCAGGGTGGCGTGCCGCAGACGCTGAATCCCTCTTTACCAGAGATTCCTCACTTTCTAGAAATCATCCCTCTTGCAAAGTTCATTTACCTACTCTTGTTTCCTCGACTTTCTCAAAGCTTCCCTCCTTTTCGTTACAGAATGGGCCGCGTCGATGGCCATTCGATCGTGGGTGTTATTGACGAATTGCAAGTGGTTGAGCGGGATGGCACACCTCAAACGCTGAAGTCCGCATGAACCTTTGGAGAGTCCCGCGCTTCTGCACCTACTTCCACTTCCTCTGACTTCCTTTAAGCTTCCCTCTTTTTTCCCCTTACATTATGGGCCTCCTTGAATGATCTTGGGTATCATTGTTGCGGCTGGTCAATCCGGGCGGAGCGCTGCGGACACTGAATCTCGCCATCACCTCTAGAGATTTCCGCTCCTTCACACTCAATCGCGGTTTCCCTGATTTCCTCTGAGCTCCCCTCCTTTCTTTCACAGAGTGGGCCGCCTCGAAGGCTCTTGTATGGTGGGTTTCATCGACGAGCTGCGGCTGGTCAAGCGAGATGGGGGCCCGCGGACGCTGCTGTGCGGCACGAAGACGCGCCGGACGCTCAAGGCGGCCGCCGTCGGACGCTCAAGGCGGCCGCCGTCGGACGCTCAAGCGGCCCGTCCGACGCCCGAATAACGGACGGGCACGTAAGTGCGCGGTGGCCCCTCTTCAGTCACATCCGCTTCTGTGGGCTTGCTAGGCTCGTATCTGATGTCTTTAGAGTAGGTTTTCAATACGAGCGTAGAGGCCTCTGCAAGCGCTGCAAGACACTTCAAGACCCGATGCAACACAGAGAAACTTGCCGGACGCTGAAATCGCCACCGTACGCCCAAAAGCGGACGCTTAAAATTTGGACATGTGAGGACGTATGGCAATAGGACACAACTTTCAGTGGAGCTCTCGGCTTCTCTTTTTTGGTGTACACGCTTCTCAGCAGGCTGCGGAATAGGCAGCCTTCTTGGTAGCCAGCGCGATGGCGGTCTCTCTCTTTTCTTTATTTGTGTCGCATCCATTTACAAGCTGCTAAAAGACACATTCGGTCTTGGTATATCTCCTTGCCCCGCACACGATATACGAAGCAATCTATCGCAGGTCGCAGAATAGGAACTGAGGAGCGAGCAAGTGACCAAGCAAAGGCAGCAGTAATTGATACAAAAATCTCAGAACACGGCAGAATTAAGGAGCCAACCTCGAAAGCGTGACGCAACCTTTATCTTCTTGCAGGTTGCTGCTCATGTGGCTACAAGCTCCTATTCGACGGGCTCCTCTCGGCGGCTCCCTTTCCGGCCGACGCCTTCTACGGTCACTTCGCCCTGAACGCGCCTTTCTCCGCTGACGTCAACCGTCCACGCGGCCGCCGCGTGCGTCCTCCACGTGGCAACCCTGGGTGACGTGTTGGCCGAGCTGGTCGCGGAGTGCCGGGACACGCCCCAGGCTGACGACACTCTGTTGCTCAGGTAATGGCCAGACGATCCTTTTGTTTCAGGAGCTGCTGTTCCTATCCTTTTGTTCAGCTCTCGTTTCCTTGTCACGCTCGTCGACCATTCAAAGCACTTCGCTTTGGTCTTTCTTTTCCTTGCTTTTCCTGTCTCGCAAATGTCATTGCGGATTTGTTTTGCCCTGCTTGTTCCGCCACCACTGGTTCCGCTTCACCGGATGACCCCTCTGATAATGATGGAAGTCAATCAATCTTTCGCTTCTGAAGGTCCGGCCTCATCCGAGCTTGTCTTCGCGTATGTCCATTCAAGAAAGGCCCCAGTGCTTGCGGGCACTGCGTCATTCACGATCGAGTTGAAGAAGTTTAGGCTTTCTGAAGGCGTCATAATCTACGTTCAATTACGGTCGTCTTTCGGTAATTTCCAGTGTAACGCTTTACCATCTGCAGAGGGGAAGGGAGGAGACGTTTTTGCATTAGCCGTTGAGAGGTTGGAGCAGAAGACGTTGACAGGCAAGGAGCGATCCATGAAGGTTCCGCGGAGGTGACAACGAAACTGTCAAGAATGCGCTGGCGCAAGGCGGCCGCTTGTGCTGCGGGGCTGAAAGCAGGTGGGACCAAATCAAACTAAACGTCAATGTACAATTGCGTATACAAATCGAAACGTCTTTGAATAATCAGAGGATTGAGGGCAATAAACGGAGCGCTTCTCCACCAGGAGCTTGAAACGTCTCCCCTTCCAGGTTGATAAGAGTGCGAATCCACGTGCTTTGCAACACCCTTATGTCAAAGGCATACGTGCTGGTTTTGTTACCCAGCAACTCGTTCCTTTCACTCAAGCCTGTTGTCGCGAGTGCACCACGTACGACGCCACGACCTGCCGCCGCGCGCCAACTTCCCTTCCCTCCACTTGACATTGACACGTGTCCTTTTCTCAGGTTATTGCCAAAACCGCAGCCCGCAAAATGCACCCACCGACCGGCGGCCGCGCGCCCCGCTGGCAAGCTGTCGCTGATCGACCTGACCGGGACTCAAGTGCGCGCCCGCGGCGTACGCGCTCCCGGTGCGCATCCTTGAGGGGCGCGGACATGAAGGAAAGCCTGCTCGCGCTCCGCAGCTGCAAGCAACGCTTGTCGATGGGAAGGGCCACCTGCCTTTCGGCAACAGCACGCTCATCGTCAGAGCTTGACTCAAGGTGGGGCCTGAACCGTTTGGCGGAAGGATTTCGCCGGAAGCTGCTCACAGAAGCTGCACCTTTATTTCTAATGAAGAATTTCTGTGGGCTGAAGTTTTCTGGCTTGCTCGGTGCTCGTTCTCCGGACCGTTTGGAAACCAAACGTTTTGCTAGTGGTCGGCTATTGATGTGTTTCCGTGCCAAGCGTTCATACCCGTTCGAACGCCCCCGCTCGGGCCCTGTCCTCAATCAGAGGTTTGGTTTTCCTGTTCTGTGATTTCCACACCGTGCACTATGCATAGATTTGTGTTTGTCCCTTGCTCTGTCATCTCAATTGAGCATTCACTTTTCTTGGTCCGTTGGAACCGCGGCCCCTGGCGAACTTCGATTCTTTTAGACCCAGGACTTTGTCAATGGGTTCCAAAACAAACCTGAAGGAATTTGACGAAAGGTCCAGTCCATTTCCTGACCGTTCTTCACATTGCTGCCAGTGTCCATTGAAAGGGTCAAACCACGGCAGTGCCTTCAATGCATTTAGGTTCGAAGTGGAAAACGTTGCCTCGATCTTGGACGAGGTTGTACAACTCGTGTAACGAATTTTGTTTTATACAACATCGAAGCTACTGGTTTACAAACAGGACGGTCTTTCCAGAACTGGCTGGCCGGCGGCGCGTCAGACCGCAATGATGGCAAATATCAGCCCCACGCACCACCACGCACCAGCACCTGAGCGGACACCCAGGAAACGCTCCATTGGACGGACCGCGCCAAGGAGACTCGGGCCAAGGTGACGGAACCCCGCAACCAAATGATGCTCTCGCGGTCAGCTCGATTGATTGTGAAATGACTAGGTATCCGAGTTTCCTGGTTGCGGACCTGAGCTGACGTCTGAAAGCCTGTCCTGTTCATTCGCTGGACTCTCGTCCAGCATCGAGATTCTGGAGGAAAGATTGAGTGTCGAACAGGGTAACCTGCGGGCTTCAGTTGATCTGCCATGTCTGCTTTCATAAACCCTGCGGGTCCTCGCTTTCAAAGTTGAGAATTCAATGCAGCGAAAGGTCGAGGCGAGTAGGAATGGGGGCCGGCAAGCCCGAATCTTTTTGTGATATATCAGCTATTCCCGTCGCCTCGTCTTGGAAGAGTTCGCAGGGCACGCACGTGAGATTCTGGGCCTTCCAATCGGAGCGTTGCCTTTCTAGCGCGCTCAGTCTGCTTATCTTGGTGGCTTTGGTTTGATAGTCAGGGTAAATTTGTGAACCAAAATGAAGCTTTGCTTCAAGCCTTACAAGAAGCTTGGATGACGTCAACGAATCAAGTGCCGCAGTTAAGGCAGTTCTGGGCATCTTTGAGCGAGATGCGAGCTCATACATATCCCAAGTGCTTTCGGCTGAATCGTTCTGCAGGCTAGGTCCAATGCATATAGAGTACATACATAGTCACTATCTATAGATGCATAGAGAACATTCAGAACAAACATACTCTCGCTCACCTCTCCAACCAGTGGGACAAGCTATACGTCCAAGCGTCCGTCCAAGCATGTTCACAGCTCCTCCAGTAGAAACCTACTAATGACCAACTGTGATTCTGACGCTCTCGCCCACATTCACCGCAGGCCCCCGAACCACTGAGCATGCGACAATGTCCTCCCAACCGCCGAGGATCGCAGTCACAACGTCTCGTTCAGGGAGCAGCCTGCGCGCACAACGATATAATTAAGTGCGGCCCGTTTATGTAAGGCTCTAGTTTCACTAGCGGCGGACGGCACAAGGTTTTCTTTTTCAAATTCGCTGATTGGCTCCGGCTACATCGGAACATCTCTACCGCGCTTCCACTAGCGGTTGTGCCGGCGGAACTCGAATAAAATTTGATGACGTAAGCGGCACAACAACTAATTAAGTTCGACCCTAGTGCCACCTTGGGTCGAACTAAATTGTTTTTGTGCCGGCCTCCCATGTGGTCCGATGGACCACTCACATAGCGCCAGGTCCTCAAGTTGGCGGGCACATTTCGCGCCAGCTACGGTGCACTCCGCAGAGTCTGCACTGGCAGCACAACTGCTCTTGACACATCTGTGGTGAAAGCAGAAGCTCGTCAGCCTTCAGGCTCACCGGAAGGGGATACTTTTAGTAGAGGTAGAAACTAGGTCACCATGGAGGGGCGCCAGGGCGAAGCAAGCACCTTCCGGCCTGACCGGGGCTTTCTTGGCAACCTTGCGCTGCCAACAGACAGTATGCCAACGCAGCACCCAGCTCCAGGCAGCACCATATCTCAGCAGCAGCAGAATGCGCCTGGATATGATTCCCTTGAAACACAGCAGTATGACCCCACTAACCAAGGCGACGGCTACTGGGAACGTCCCATTCACAATATCCAGCATCAGCCACAGGGTCCTCCAAACGCTGCATTTGCTAATCCAGGGCCGGATGCTCCGCGGTACGAGCAGGGAGGCCTTCCTCACGTGCAAGCCTCATCAATGCCTGGGGGACAACCACCGATGACGGCTACACCAGGTATGTATAGCTGCCAGCAAGCATTGTTCTTGGGCGGGTGTGCTCGCTGATTTGCACGCTTCTTCTTCCTGCATCATTCAAGTCCTGTTGACCAACCTGGTCAATGGTCTTCCATCACTTGTCTCCTAAAGGAGACATGTTACGAGCAGCTCGGAATGTACCTATGTTGTGTGTTCAATAATGCCCAGAGGCAGCTATCAGGCTTTTAATGTTGGACGTCCAAACAGGCTCAAAAGGATTCCCCTGGTTGTAAATGAGCGCTTTATTCCATTGGGGATCCTTTCTGGATGTGTTTCTCCTTCAAAGAAATCCAATCTTAGGCACGTGTCAGGCTTCTGATGTGGGATGTGCAGAAAGCCTGAAAGGATTGCTGTTGTTCAGAAGGGTCTCCGTTCGAAGTGGTTCTGCTTACAAGCACTCGGTCTTGGCCAGCTTCAATAACTTCCATGCAATGGGTGTCCAAGGAGGTTATTGGACGGGCTGCCCTTTTTCAGGTTAAGTCCAGACTTGGGCACTCGTAAATCATGGGGCCTCCATAGCAAGCTGCACGCCCCAAGCTTTATATCCTTTGCCTTCCATGTGCAGAAGCTGTGGATGCACCAACCACAAAGAAGCGTGGCCGCCCTGCGGGCAGCAAGAGCACAAAGACCCCAGCGACCAAGAAGAAGACAGACAAAGCACCAGCCATTGATCCGGAGCTTCTGCAGGAAGCTCAAAGCCGCCTTTGGAAGGACGAGTGGATTCATCAGCTCATCGAGCAACGAGCCTTGATGCAAGCTCAATTTGATGCGCCCAAGCAGGGCGTTGACTTGTGGACTAGGGTGGCCACCGAGGTTCTAGCTAACTGTCCAGACTTCAACAAGAATGCCGAGTCCTGCAGGAAGAGGTTTGCCAAGGAGCTCAAGGACTATCAACTCGACAAAGCTCAGAATGCTAAGTCCGGTCACGATAGGGGCGACCGGTCCAAGTTCTATGACACAATGGACTCTCACTTTGCGGGAAAGGCCACCGTTCACTGTGTTGCCCATGCGGATTCGGAGGCGGTGGTCGACGTCCCCTCCGGTGAGTCGGAGGAGAAGCCTTCTTCAAGCGGCCACTCTTTGTTGGATTCTAGAGGGAAGAGAAAGCGCGGCGAGAAGAGAGAAAGCAGACACAATTGGCAAATGTAAACAAGCCTTGCATAATTCAATGACCAATTTTGGGAGGAAGTGCATTGAAAAAGCTGACCAAAGAAGGGTTGCATGTCCCGGTCCATCTCAAGTTGCCACATGACTTTATGTGAGCTTAGCTACGTGCATGAAGTTGCATGGTTATTGCTCAACAAACGTATGCGTGTGCCCCGCGTGTTTGACACGCACACATGAACGGGCATTACGCATGACGAGTTGAATTTATAAGGAGCTTAATAGAAGTGGCTCGTTTGCCACACGTATGACTAGATGTTTGAACTTGATTGTTCATCCGTTTGAATGGGCGCCTTCAACATACACTGTTTATGAGCTTACAGGTACGTATGTTCATACGGTTGCATGGTTATTAACCGCTCAACCAGTTATATGCGCGTGTTGCGGGCCGCGTCTGCGGCACGCTTTCACGAACTTCGGCCCTAGCTTCTTCCACATGATGGAACGTAAAGAGCTTTAATAAAAGGGGCTACTTTCGTTTTCTCATGCAGCTAGCGATATGCGGTTGCGATTCTTTGTCGAGGGCCAAGGCACGCCCAAAATTGCCACCTAACAGTTCAAGTAACTAGCGTGGGTGTAAATGGTGGGCCAAAACACGAATTGCAGGCCCCCGGCCGGCCAAATCTGTGACGGTTTCTGCGACGTTTTTTGTGCCGTTAACTGCCGCTTTCGATTTTTGCCAAATAAAAAGCGGGCCTATTTCCTAGTCTGAGACCGGAAACGGTGACGGTAACGATTCAAGGTAGCGGGACCTCTAGGTCTAGGACCGGTCACTTGAAGAAAAGAGGAAGCTAGCTTCAAGAAGGAAAGGGCGGCCATTGAATGGTACGCTCTAAAACAGGAGGATAGAGCGGTCCCGAGCAAAAGTAAACGGACGAAAAGCAGGCGAAAAGGCTGTAGCAGTGCGCTAAATGATTTTTGCAGGCCCGTTCAAAGCTTCTCCACAGCTCAACGTGGTATGGGCTGTGGTGTTTTCATGCGCTGAAATGGCGGCGGCCGTTAACATGCAAAGTGTGCCAAGCCCGCTATTTTGGCCGATAAAACTTGAGGGCAGGGGCGCCGCTCTGTGGGCCGGCAGCACACCGCAGAAGCTGGAAGCAGAAATCAAGCAGAGCTTTGGGAAGGAGTTGGTGCAGAACGGATATGAGCTCGATTGCAAGGCGGGCACTTCAATGTCTGTGGGTGGTCAATACCCGCTAAGTTAGTACTTGAATCCATCAGCTCAGGAAGACCTAGCATTGTGTGTGCTCCAGCATTCAGTGGACGTGTCGTTGCCAGCCATGGCCGAGCGCATTG